CATCCGAGACCCAGGACAAGAGCTGCTGGTGACGTTTTTCCTGCAACTGTTCTGCCAACGAGGGCATTGTACTATCGTCCGGTGTCTCTATTTGAATGGAGGTAGACAGCTCGTGGGCGAGCAGTTTCCGATCCTCTTCTTCTTGCCAACCAGTTGGCGGAGTTTCGGTCCATGACTGAAAGATAAATATAATTTATTTATCTCATTTATTGAATTGTTTTAAAGTCCTATTTTCTTTATAACTTATTTCAGCCAGAACAATCACTTACATGGAAGTAGCGCACAATGTTGTGGTGCTCGCAACTAGCCAAAGTTCGCGCCTCGCGCAGAACCCGCTGCCTTGAAGATTCCTTATTGGGAAGCGTTATACGCTTTATGGCGTACCGGTTCTCGTCCAGCTTATTCTTGGCTTCGAAAACCACTCCGAAACCGCCGCGACCGAGACACTGCATCAGCTCAAAGTCAGACTGGAAGCGCGAGGTGTAATGTTCGCCAGAATTCGACGTGGACTCCGAAATGGTACGCTGGTTTCCGCGACCGGATGGGAAGCTAAAACGATTTCCGGGTCGTTGCATCGGAACCACGGGACCTAGTAGAGCCTGTGTTGATGCTTCGGTGGCCTCGATGGCCGTCTGTACTGGCACATGGCGTTCAATGACCAGATACTCGCGCTCTACTCGTTGGTTTCGCTGTCCCATAAAAATATTGAGAATTACTGCCGAAGTAAAAGCAATGACCACAATCTCCTTCCACCAGAACCAAAGCGACAGAATCACCACCTTTACAGGAGCATCAATGTCGTCCAGACTAAAGCCCAGATCGTCGTTAATGCTATTGTTGGCAGAATGCTCTGTTCCCTCAGATGTGTTGTTAGGAGGCGTTGGAGCTTGGATTGCGGGAAGTCCGCTAGGATTATTTTGTGTACCGCACTCCGACGGACCTTCCAGTTCTCCGGTGGTGTAGAAGTAAAAACCATTGCCATTGACAAACTCCGAGGCATTAAGTACAGACTGCGCTGCTACAGCGAAATTCTGATCATCATACGGCACCAGTTCTCCTCCTTGGGGTCCCGTTCCCTCTGCTATCATCTCAGGCTCCTCTTGGTCTTTTCGGAAGATGACCAGAGAGTTACTGCTGGCGGCTATCGGCTTCCATGGAATCTTGGGCATAAGACTGGTGTCGCCTGTGAGCTGCTGATAGGCTTTCGTCTGGTCCATTATTTCCTGGCGCAAACGGATTGATTCCTGAATATATAGCTGCCTATCGTACATGCCCAAGTAGATGGACGGTGGGCTCAGTGGAGCATTTGGCAGCTCATCGTCTTCCTGGTCCTGGTCCCATAGCCACTGAGCTGAGCTAAACAGATCAATAGGTTTCAGTTCGTCTTCGGCATTCGTATTCCAGGCACTAACAATTGGGTGATCGAACTAGGAAGACGATCGAAGAAACGGATAATTTAAAATCCAATATTCCATTTTTATCAATTTACTACGCCTTTACCACTTACTTTATACTTCCATAGCATGGTTTGTGGGTCACTTTTGCTGAACGCGCAGATAATGCCCTCAGGCACCACCACCTTTATATCCACGTCTAGGACAGCCAGCTCCAGCTCATCGCGTGGCTGCTGTTGGCACTCGGAAGGTCGCACCAGATCCAACTCGTGTTGACCCACGCTGAAGTTCCACCGCTCCATCCCGGTGCGGGATTCGACAGCTCTCACTGTCTGTGTCTGGCGGCGCACCACGATAACATCGTCAAGGAGCGGATCATGGCCCACAATGTACCCCGCCTCGTCCCTGAGCTGGTCACCATCCTCTGACTGATCCTCATCTTCGGGCTCCCTAATGGTGTCGTCGATGGCCAGTCCATCATCCGTGGAGTTTACGCATCCACTTAAAGAACATTCATAAAGAAGCTGGCCTGTGCGAACCGAAACTCCGTAGGAGCGAGTCTCCTTGCCTCCGGAAATCACCAAGTCATCACTAAACTTGGCACTCGAGCTGAGCAGGTGCTCCGCTGTGATCGGAATGGGATCGATGGAGTCCCCGTCGAACTTGTATATGCCGCCGCTGAGCGAGGGAATCATGCGCACGAACTGTCCATTGTTGGTCAGCTCCAGGCGATGGATACTGGACGAGATCAGCGGTCCGGGTCCAGTAGGCACGCTCCAGCGCAGTTTGCCGGACTTTGCGATGTCCAGAGCGGTGAGTCGTCCGTCCAGTGTGGAAATGTAAAGGAGTCTGCGGGTAAACAGAACACGGTTTAATTACAAACTGCATAAAATATCACGGCCTCATAAAAAAGTGTCCTTTTATCTGAAAATCAAAGGTAAAAGAGGTTCAAATAAAGAAGGAAAGTTTGAGAAGGTTTAAATAATATACACATTTTACATGGACGTAAAATGTACTCTATAAATGGTGTTTCGGTGTTTTAAAAATGTAATGTATTTCAAACATTCTTTCAATTATATTTCATAATTCGTGGTTCTATAAAAGACAAATTTTATTTGAAAATTTTATCAGAAAATGTTTATTTTTGGCAAAATTGTCGAACTCTATTGCAATCTAAACAAAAAGTTTATAATTTCAATATCTTTCAAAAATTATCTTCCGAAATTATGTAATGGTACTTGTAGAACATATACTAAAGTATAAATCTTAGGTGATGCGAAAACTGATTTTTAGATTTGGCACAGAAATTATATTTGTATCTATTAATATATTCAAAACATAATAAAAAAAAAAGGGAAACAGTTCAGAAACCCCACCGTCTTCTTAGAGGTCGCATTTCAGATTGTGCTCTTTCAAGCCTGTCCCTGAATTTTATCAGTGTGGGCGACGGATTTCGTCACCTGGTGCAAGGTGCATTGCAAGGATAAAGGCTATGTGGAGAAAGGGTCACACTGGCATCTCAGCTGACTGGGGGAAGAGTGGGGAAGGGGAGACACTCAGCTGTTTGCGCGCCAAGGAGAAAAAAATCAGAAACAACAAGTGTCAGTTGGCTCCTCTCATTTCCCTATCGCCATCTCTGTCCCGCCCACTGAAGAGCCGAAAATGGCGCCCTCCAATCGAGGGGATAAGGCAAACGGGAGGAGGATGGTGAAATTCGATGAAAACTTAGACAAGCGCAAAGAAAGCAAAACAATCGGTGAAACCAGTTCGTTTTGGCGTGCATAAATAAACATATCTCAACGGCCTCTCGCAAACAAAAAAAACAGGTAACAGTTTTGCAAGTGACTCACCGCATGCTTGATAAGCGTCCACTGATAGGGGTCTTTAGAGTCGGCTGAGGTACGAGCCAAGTTGGATCATATTATCAGATCAGTGGCAAACTTCGAGTTGGGCAGTAGTTATGGCTTGGTAAATAGGCACTTTATAAAGACAGCCTAAACATTATAAAAGGTCGAACTAAAAGGGATTATATGAACAGATACGTCGGGAACTTCGGGTTCAGCACGAACTGTGCTCACTGCACTGTTTTCTTCGAACTCTCCGATCTAGCTGAATAGAGAGACACTTTTGAGTAGTTTTATCAAATATTAACAGCGTGGGTTTTTAATATTTGCTTAGCTGCTGGCGTTCCTTCACTTGCACTGCCTTATAGCGAACGTTCGAGAACATAAACATAACAGAAGGGTCACACACATAACGCACTCAGCTGCTTCTTCTTAATCCATCCGATACAAGTACACTCCCCCCGATATTTTGAGCAGTACCTACCTACGGCCGATCCGGCGATCCTCCTGATCCACGCAGTGCGTGAGGGCGGGGGCATGGGGTGCTCCCGTCGTCTGGAGTTCCGAGTCTGCGTTTAGGCGCTCCGCTCGCACCTGGGCGGGATTTATGGCCACCAAGCCGGCCATGGTCAGCGCCATCAGCTGCAGCAGACTCAGGTTCCGGCGCCGCTGCCTGACGATGCCATCCAGGTCGTCCTGCATGCCCATCGTACGCGCATATATACGTAATCCTTGTCTACGGTCGATCAGGGGCTCGGGGAACGGGGGCGGAGCGGGGAATGCAAGTCTCTAATTGGCTCGAACGGTGACGTGTTGACGACTCTCGGGGGTCGGTGGGTGGAACAGCGGCGGCAGTGGCTCCCGGCAGGGTCGGCGCACATCTCCGCATCACAATCGAACGCGCCCGCAGCAAGCAATTGCAATTCAACTCTATAATTGCACTAATATCGGCCAATTTCAGCTTGTTTTCCTTCTGATTTGCCCGCAACACGCTGCTGATGTGCAGTGTGACCGCGTTTTGGCTGCCATTAAATAACAGTGATGACACCATACCTGGCTTTATTTCGTCATTGATTAAAAAATACCGAGAAAATACCGCTTTCTCAGGTGGCGGCTAAAGGTACAGTAAGCATTTGATAGGTGTGAATTGTTTGGCTGAAGCTGACTTTTTTTATTTGATTGATTTAAAAGGACTGTTTTTCTTATGTGTGGACATTTTTTTGCCAACCCCTAATCATCTTTCATACAAAACAATGTGTAAAAAAAATTCAAAGATTTGCCACAAAAAATCGGAATTGAAAAGACGACTATTTGTAACAAACCTTGTAACTTTCAAATACGTTTCAAGAGGATCATTGCTTACCGCCAAATTAAAAAAAAAATCTCTCCATTGAGGATTTTTTTGTGATTTTTTGATACGGCGCAGTAAACTAACATTTTATTTTAGTTTAATTTCAAGAACTAATCATAATAAGAAGCTTCACAAATATACGCAAATGGGGAACTTTAGCGAAGTGAACCTTATACAGATACTACATCAAAACTCAAAGAACTCGACTTTAATCCTTGGTCACCATTAAAAAATTCAAAGTTCTGTTTTATAGCTCCCTTTCTTTTAAAACAGGTCTTTTGTTTCTTTTTGTCCGCTGATAAAAACATCGATCAATATATATTTTAGCTACATCCTTTTGAAGAAAACTAGCCGACGGTCAACTGACCACTTTTTTAATTTCTCTTCATGCATTTCCATGTTTTCTCGCCATTAATGTGAAACAAAGTTGGGTTGTAATTAAATTTAAATTGTTTCATTTAATATAAAACGGATTTTTTACTCCTGCAGGTCAGTTACTTAAGTTGGGTATTAACTTAAATCCTCGATGGGTACAGCATCTGTAAGAACAAGACGAAAGTCAAGTTAAAAGACTGGATCGGTTGGACAGATAGAGCTTGAACTTACGATGCGGATGCGGTGTCCCATGGCGTGACCAGGCAGGTTCCTGTTGAAGCGGGCACGCACGGCACCGGTGTTGCCGTGGATGCGGGTAACCTTGCCCCAGACGGCGCGGACACGGGTCTTGCGCTCGGGATGCTGTGGCACGCACTTCTTGGTCTCGGCCTTGTAAACATAGACGCAACGCTTGCCAACGTAGAAGGATCCGTGCTCCTTGCGGCGGGCTCCCTCAATCTGTAATGGAATGGGAGGGTTATTATCATCCTTTAACTATTAATAAATATTACTTTAATGATTATAAGATCTTTTTAAAAGTGCTAGACTCATTAAATTGGCAGAACTAATGTCAATGTGGAGGGCTTGCACTAGAATAAATATCACCAGCCGGTACACTTTTTTTTAATGTTCTTATCTGGCGGATTATTAATTATTATCCACTTTGATGTGAAGGAATGCATTAAGAGTCTCGGTACATCAAATAAATGTAGTTTAGTTTGTTACGTATAATAAGAAATTCACTTTTAGAACACCTTGGAACGTGGAGCAGCTGGACGAGTTCTTACCTTGAGGATGGCCTGGTTCTCGTGCTGGTTCCTCAGACCACGCTTGTAGCCGGTGAAAACGGCCTTGGCGAAGAGGCGTCCGTGGCGCTTGTACTTCCTGGCGGAAACCTTGGCCTCAGTGGCGGCGGGCTTCTCGGCCTTGGGGGCTTTGGCGGCCTTGGGAGCCTTCTGGGCCTTGGCGGCCTTGGGCGCAGCAGCGGACTTGGCTTGTGTGTCGGCCATGGCTTACCTGTGGATGATAGGGGTATAAACATTAGTCACGGGAATATTCACCACGATCACTCCAAAGATTATTCATATGGGTTGGACATTTAAGGGACAAGGGTTTATTTTATCAATGATCAGTTGTCAAGTAAGTTCCAAGTTTAGTTACGTTACTTTACAGGGCTGTAAACACAAACTATCAATTTTAGAAAAGGCGAGGTCTGCCAAACCGGCTCCAAGGAACATATGATAAATAACTACCACTGCTTTCAATTTCTGAGAAAACATGTTGAAATTAAGAAAAAAAACACTTGAAAACAACTAGTTGCGATCGAAGGGATTTCAGAAATGTCCATTGTGCACTGTGTAAAGAACGCAACGATTGTGAGCGGTATTGAGCTGCATAACACACATGTTGCAATCTCATTCGGATGCCACTATCTCTGACCGCGGTCCTGGAAGATAAATTGATTGGCCCGAAGGAACTACTCAGACACAAACAATCACAAATTAATTCCACTAGCCGATTTTTGCGCACGTGGGCTGATGTTTGCAGGTTATTGAATGATTATTTGCTGGTTTCCCAATGCCACGACTTGATTCTCTCTGACTGCGGAAACCCACCTTGTTGTTCGATGAATGAATAAACACCGCTAGAAATATAAATTAAATATTAATAAAAGTAAAAACGTTGAGAAATTTATTTTACTTACTTCGCCGGAAACGAAAGCGAAAAGAAGGAAATAGTGTGGCTGCCGCATAACGCTACAAAAACGCGTTCCGTTAAGAATAACAGCGTGCTGTTACTCAACAGCGAGCTGTTAGGGGCAAAATAGAGCAGTCAGTTGGCAACGCGATCAAAATGAATGCCGTTATTGGGAATTAACAGCGCATTCGGCAGAAAATCAATTCGTTATTGCACTTGTAGTTCGATTTGTTTTGAAATATAACAAGGACTAAAAATGATTTAAATTTTCCAAAGTAAGAAAAATATTTTTAACAGTGTATAACTCTAACCGGCTTGCAGTTTTTAAAAACCGTAACGTAATCGCCGCTAGGTGGCGCCCCGCAATTTCTGAAAAGAAAAACGGGTATCTGATAAAGTCAGTGTTTTGGTTTTTAATGGGCATAGTAAAACAAGTCTGGAAAAACATCCCCAGAAGATTTTAAAAAATGTTGGATGAGGAATGGACCTAATAGATATGAGTAATCATCATTGTTAATGCCGAATAATTTCGAATTACCCTACAAGGATGGCAGCCAATCTTTGCATTAAACATAAAAGGTAAATACAATTGCGAATTCATTTTTCAAAATTTTTTTGTCAACTTACCAATTTAGACATCATTGCCAATTTTTTACAGTTAATGTGTCCAATAGCCGATTCCACCGATAGGGATTCATCAAGGCACTACATTTATAAGTTATCCGAATTTGTGACACCACACCTCCATGTATATCAACTTGACAATAAAATAAAAGCCGTGAGCCTAAAATATATATAGTTTTTAAAAATGTAGCATTTTTATTTGAAAATTGAATCTTGAATCCATATCGAGAGCATACATTCTCAAAAGTTAAGCAATTAACCCTGCTGTCTTTTGTGAGTTCTGCAATTCTCCAACACCATTAATCCCATTAGTAAGATTCTTCTTTGACAACACAAGGACCCGAAATTGTTTTTTTTTCAGATTGTATTTAATGAAAAGCCTCTATCCAAAGCAAAGAAGAGTAATAGTTGAAATAAATATTAAACTGAGCATTAAGGAAGCCGTAAGAGAGATTACAAAGTCTTGAAAACAGATTGAATAGAGTATAGGTTTAAACATGCAAATAAAGGGTCTAACCAAATAAACGTCATTTTTTAATATCACAAAAACCGTGGCATCACAATATTAAGTGGATGGCAAAAAGCATAAAAATACAAAATAGATTTATGAAAGGACATACTTATGACAAGACTTGTCTAAGTAGGATAAGGGATGTGAACTCGAATCTGTATAAACCATGTAATGTACCCGAATTTGCCGACTACCGAAGACTCACCAATCTCCGAGGTAAATTTAAGAAGTATTATTCAATTTGGTTCCAACTTTTTTAGAAAAAGTTAGAATTTAAATTTCTAGTTAACCTCTTTATCTGCTTTTTTATAAATTATCAATCACATTTGTTGGCAGTTGGCCAACCAACCAGCCTGTCAAGCTCAATTCCCTGAAAGCTTAGCTTAAAAAACACTGCTGTGGCTGTAAAGAATCCTGTCTGCAAAGGGTAGCTTGTCAGTCTAGGCACCTATCCAGAACTGTCTAGACTGGTTTCTGATTAATTTTAATTTAATTTAACTTTTTCAGAACTAAAATTGTGTTTTTTTAAATTTTACAATACAGGAAATACCCTAACTAAAATTATATTTTCGAGTGTATAGGGAATATCCTATATACATATAACTATTTTCAAAAATGAGAGCGATATTTTTCGCCTCCGCTGGGCAAAATGGAAAAAAAACACAACGGAACTTCCTATTATGTTTCTTATGTGCTTTGAAATAATAATATAAATAAATTTCTTCAATATCTCTGAACTGTTCCTCGAATGCTTAACGAATGAGCAAAACTTAATAGTAGTATTTAATAGGTATTTCCCTTTGAACGATTTTCTGTTAAATTTTTTTCCCTAAAAGTCATCGACAATCGAATATATTTATCGGCGACTCGGCGCAAACGCATAGTTGTTTTTTCCAGTGCCGAAAACAATATCAAAATTTTTTCATAACAATGTTGATATTTTAGAGACTGCTACAAAATTGTAAAGCACATGTACCTCGCTGAAGCGAAGCAAACGTGAGAACCGATCGCCAGAAGAAGCCGCAGCTCGTTGCATAAACCGCGCAGCTCTCCGCCGAAATCAAAGAGGTGCTCCCCGGGTCTCCGAACTTTGGATGCGCCGCGATGGGCTTGCTGGTGCAAGTGTTCAAGTGGGATCAGCGATGGCGCCTGCTGCAACGGGTGGACATTCTGCTGCGGAGGGGCGTCAAGAAGCAAGCGGTGTACCCAACCAAGTGAGTGGGGTCCTGAATCCTCCCGAACATTGCATAACACATCTTACTTACAGACTCGCTGAGGTGGGTCGCCTGGTTGAGGCCCGCGACGACCGGTACGAAACGGGCCAGCTCTTCCTGCACCGCATCTTCGGCTACCGTGGCGTCATCCTCTTCCCCTGGACAGCCCGCGTCTACGACCGGGATCTGCACAACCCCGGCAAGATAAGTGCCACGACGACGGCGACCGCCAATCCGACGCAGCAGCACCGCACCAAAGAGGCTTCCCTCCGGGTGAAGGCCAACACCTCCGCTCCGCCGACGGCCACATCCGCCCAGAGTGGGGATGCCCCCTCCTCGGCCGCCTATCAGTCAGAGACTCCCGCTGAACCAGAAGGCACCGCCAATATGGGGACCGCCACGCAGGTGGATCCCAAGGAGGTCAAGGGCAAGGTGCAAACCTTCTACCAGGTCCTAATCGACACCCGCGACTGTCCGCACATTGTAAGCTGCTATTTTCTTTGCTTCCTTTAGTTACTAAGTGGTTATTTCGTGCATTGCAGCGCGCCCAGACCGAGGCGGTCACTTTCCTGGGCAACCAGGACTCAAACCGCAGCTTGTACGCCATCCCCGGACTGGACTATGTGGCACACGAGGACATCATGCCCTACAACTCCAGCGAGAAGAGTCCGCTGCAGCATGAGCTGTTCGACAAGTTCCTCACGCACGCTCCAGAAGCGGATCCGCCGTTCGTGGGACAGGACACGCTGAAGGCGTGGCAGGAGAAGAACCATCCCTGGCTGGACATGAGCGATGTGCACAAGGAGACCACGGAGAATGTGCGCATTACGGTGATTCCCTTCTACATGGGTTGCCGCGAGACGCCTGCTAGTTCGGTTTACTGGGTGCGTAATGAAGGCGCATGTGCATTTATATATTGTAATCGACTACCATTTTAGTGGCGCTACTGCATCCGCCTGGAGAACCTTGGCGAGCTCAGTGTGCAGCTGCGTGAGCGCCACTGGCGCATCTTCTCGCTGTCCGGAACCTTGGAAACGGTGCGCGGAAGGGGAGTCGTGGGCCAGGAGCCCATTCTCAGCCCCCGGCTGCCAGCCTTTCAGTACAGCAGCCATGTGAGCCTGCAGGCACCCAGCGGCCATATGTGGGGAACCTTCAGGTTGGAGCGTGAGGATGGCTACTCGTTCGATTGCAAGATTCCGCCCTTTTCGCTGGAGAGCAAGCCGGACGACCTGGGACCACCCACACCGGCTACGCCCAGCGCCCACGATAAGAAGCGCGACGATAGCGACTAAGAGGCAGTTGTTGAACCGTAGTTAAATGATTTTAAAACGCAAACTTCTCTGACAATGCATGCGTACATGTGTTTAGTGCAAATTACAATAATCAACTAGGACGCAGATCCCCTTCCGTTTCTCAGCCCAATCGCACGTTCTTGGTCTCTAGCTGTACGGAAAAGTCGAAGGGTCGTCGGTTATCGTGGGTGTCGAAGATGCTCTGCAAGGCATCGATGGCCGCCGTTTCGGTGGCTGTCTTTAGATCCTCGCCGAATCCCTTGCCCAGTAACTGACGGTTAGCGTAGATGCCCACTTGGTATGCCGCCAGCACAGTGTTCCTGCCGCAATCTCCGAGCATCCGAGGCTCTGCTTCGCCCAGCTTTCGCTCTTGGCATATCTTGTCCAGCAGCTGCAGCGGTTCCTGGGGTGTCCAAACATCCAACAGGTCCTTTTGGTTTAGCTGCGTGCAGATAAAGTCGCGGACAAAGAGAAAAGCCCTCTCGATGCCGCTGGAATTCGCCAGAGCGCCGATAACTGCCTGCAGGGATTGCGCCAGACTTTCCGCTGAGGGTGGGTACTCCGTGGAGTGAATCAAATCCTTGGTGCCCAGGTGAGAGGACACGTGAGCCAGTGTTTCGGTGCTGAGCAGAAAGTTAGCGATTGCCTGGAGACCCTCTTTAGGAACCTTCGGCAGCTGGTGTAGCAGGAATGCCTCCACGTAGGCGCGTGCGATGTGCTGGCCCTTCTCGATCAGATCGCTGTTGTCAAGCATGTGGAGGTCTGCCTCTTCAATGCCCAGCTGCCGGCGGCGCTCCTCCTCGCGACGAGCGAACGATTTCTCTGTGAAGGCACGCTGCAGCTGTGACAGATCGAAGGATTCACCCAAACGTTTGCCAAAAGCGAACAGCTCCGAGCGTTGGTTCCACTCCACAAATCCGGAACGGGCCTCCGGTTTCTGCGGTCCCAGTTTCTTCTGCCGGTGGGCGAGTTCACGTAACGTCGGCGAAACCCAACGTTTGATGTGGCGCCGTGTTTGCACTGCCGGAAATAACGTTTACTGACTGGGATTGGATGCGCTCCGACTACGTACCTGTGGTGGAGCCTTCCAGAGGCTTGGCACGAGCCAGGAGACCAGCGGCACTGCGTAAAAAAGACATCTTTGGGGCAATCTTAAAAATAATTAACGAATATTTTCGATCGCATGGAAACCAGTGCTGGAAAGCGATTGGGGGTTCGGCTTGCAGAGATGGCAGGCTAAATATTATTTGTATAAAAATAATATCCCTTCACCAAATTTAACATTGTTTTGTTCAAATCGTATGGCAAAATTTAATTTTTGTTTTAGAGCCATTTGCATTTATATATTTTAAGTATTCCGTTTTAAAAAATTTACGACTCCAACTCTTAAAAAATATTTAGCTTTTTTATACTTTGTCTGACCGTTTAGTAGCCAAAAACGGCATCACTGAATTGCGTTGGTGGAGGTCGCACGTTTTCCAACACTTCCGCGATAGACGCCATGTATGTACATGTCTGTGTTTGTGTATGCGGCAGGAAAATTTAAGTTGCAGAATATTTAGAAGGAATCCCGCAGACAATCCGCGATCTGAAACCCCAAGGAAGCAGACAGACCCAACATGGCGCTGCAGACGTACGGGGACAAGCCGGTGGCCTTCCAGCTGGAGGAGGGCGGCGAGTACTATTACGTGGGCTCCGAGGTGGGCAACTACATGCGCCACTTCCGCGGCATCCTGTACAAGAAGTACCCGGGCATGACCCGCATCGTCCTGTCCAACGAGGAGCGCAAGCGGCTGGCCGAGTCCGGCCTAAGTTCCCACATCCTGGCCAGTTCCGTCTCGCTGCTCCGCGCCGTGGAGGTGGACGACATCATGGCCGGCAACGATGAAAAGTAAGTCCGGAGAATCAGTCTGAAAGGGTATTACTTGGGATTAGATAAGGCACTACCTTTTACAAAGATCACTTCAGCATCATTAACTGAGAAATAATGTTTGTACATGAGAATATCCTTTTCTCAGGTTATCTACCTCTCACTTTGCCCATCTTAAAAGTCTACCATATGATAATCATAGGAACGATGGATTTATTGAAAAAGTTTAAATCTCAACCAAAAGCTGTTAATTACAGGGATGGTATGGTTCTTGTTAGATACATGTGTTGCTTAAATGCCTGTATAGACTCTACAATCCACCCAGGGCAAATGGGACTTGAAACCCAGGTCAGGTGTGCTTGAGGTTTGACAAACTTATGCAGGGTTCTAGTATAAAGTCATATAGGCAAATGTCATTATGACATCCAGAATAGGGTACTACAGTTTTACAGAAACATATCGGGCGTTTTCAGTTTGACAGATAAAGCAGGTTACTTGTGAAGGCCTGTAGTGGCACTGATATACGCTAGCAGTTGCAAAGTTTTTTCTAATTTAACCATGAAACTGCGTCCCAGGTACCGCGCCGTTTCCGTGAACACATCTGACACGCCCGTGCCGCGGGAGAGCAAGTCCAAAAAGCAGCCGCAGTATGTGCCCACAATGCCCAACTCCAGCCACTTGGACGCAGTGCCCCAGGCCACGCCCATCAACCGCAACCGAGTGCACACGAAGAAGGTGCGCACATTCCCGATGTGCTTCGATGACACAGATCCCACTGCCAGCCTGGAGAACGCGGCGCAAAAGGAGTGCCTGGTGCCAATCCGACTGGACATGGAACTGGAGGGTCAGAAGCTGCGCGACACCTTCACCTGGAACAAAAACGAGAGTATGATCACGCCGGAGCAATTCGCGGAGGTGCTGTGCGACGACCTGGACCTCAATCCCCTGCCCTTTGTGCCAGCTATCGCGCAGGCCATCCGGCAACAGATCGAGGCTTTTCCCAACGACCCTCCTATCCTGGAGGAGAGCTGTGACCAGCGGGTAATCGTCAAGCTGAACATTCACGTGGGCAACACCTCTCTCGTCGACCAAGTCGAGTGGGACATGTCCGAAAAGAACAACAACCCGGAGGAGTTCGCCATAAAGCTCTGTGCGGAATTGGGATTGGGTGGAGAGTTTGTCACTGCCATCGCCTACAGCATTCGAGGCCAGCTATCCTGGCATTGCCGCACGTATGCCTTCAGCGAGGCCCCACTGTCAACGATCGACGTACCGTTCCGGAATCCCAGCGACGCTGACGCGTGGGCCCCGTTCCTAGAGACCCTCACCGACGCCGAGATGGAGAAGAAGATCCGCGACCAGGACCGAAACACGCGCCGAATGCGGCGATTGGCCAACACCACAACCGGCTGGTGATCTTCCGAGATCCAGTAATATGTCACTAAAGTAATCCTCCTAATAAGTACCATTATTCATCTCAAATAAATGCGTGTCTGTCGATTTTAAAACCAACTACGTTCCACTAAGATGCTCAGGAAATGTCTTGTTCTTTAGAGATATTGTATTTTTTAAAATAATCCCAAATTAAGGTACAAACTAACCTGCTGCTCTTTACTGCTTACCCTAAACACAAAACCTTACACTACGTTAACCAATACTAACTCTCCGCCGAGTCCGGTTTGTCTTGGTCCTGATCCCCGTCGTAGAACTCGTTCTTGGCATCGACCATCTTGTCTTCATCTGTCACGGACATTCGTACGTCGGGGTCGGCCGCCTCGTCCCGGTTGTTGCGCAGCTCCTCTAAGTCCACATCCGGCGGCGTCTGCACCATTTGGACGCTGGGCGAGTGCTGGCACATTTTAAGGTTTTCGTACACATGCTTTACGATTAGTTCCAGATACTGCTTCGAGTTTGCATTATCCTGCCGAGAGTTAATCTCTGGATGGAGAGTGAAGTCGGGAGCGAAGAAGTCGTAATACTCGGTGGCAGGGAGATCATTTTCAATGTCTTGGTCCACCAACAGCGAGGTCTCGTGCGTCCAACAGCGGGCCACATTCCGCAGGGTGTAGCCACCTCCTCCGACGACCAGAGTAGGTACATTGAGCTCCTTCACAAACTTGACACACTCTCCATGCCCCTTTGTGCTCAGGGAGAAGCAACCGAGTCGATCTCCGGCCAGAGAATCCGCTCCACACTGCAAAACAATGGCCGTTGGCCGGTAGAAGTCCATGATGGCCGAGATGATTGGCTTGAACACCTGGAAGTAGCTCTGATCATCAATGCCTTCCTTAAGCGGCACGTTCACGCTGTAGTATCGACCCGATTCCGCGCCAATCTCGTACATGTCCCCGGTGCCTGGGAAGAAGTAATTGCCGTACTTGTGGAACGAGGCCGTCATCACTCGATCCGTGAGGTAGAAGGCCTCCTGCACCCCATCGCCATGGTGCACATCTATGTCGATGTAGAGCACCCGAGGATGGTACTTCAGTAGCTCCAGGATGCCGATCACAATGTCATTCACGTAGCAGAAGCCACTCGCCTCAAACTTCTTGGCGTGATGCAGTCCACCCGACCAGTTGATGCAGATGTCGCTGTGGTTGTGGTTCAGCTTCTGGGCCCCCTCCAGCGAGGCACCCGTGTACATTGCACAGAAGTCGAAGAGGCCGTCGAACACGGGACAGTCCTCTCCCACGCTGAAGTGCGCCAGGTACTTGGTGTAGGCCACGGCTGAAAGAGAGATTTCAAGTTCATGTTTTATAACCTTGACTTAAACAAGAATATTCTAAACTGAATTCTGAGTATGATTGCCACAGAGGGTCAACGCTCCACACTGTCTATTAAAACCCCGCCAAAAGTTTAGGTAATTAAACCATCCACTTGCTTTTCAATTAGGTAAGTTCTCTAATTAGCACTTTTGCTACTTACAATTGCACTGGATGTTCTGCGGAGTCACCTGCTGAAGATAGGCGATGTACTCGTCGCTGTGGAAGCGGAGCATGTCCTGGGCACTGGCCCTGCAAGGGAATATAGGTCAGAATGGATCAAGGGACACTGCTCGCACTGGAGGACGCCTCCTACTTACTTGTACGGCCTGTAGATCTTCATTTTCTTGTGCAGTCCGTAGTTCATCACCAGGCTGTGGGTGACCGCCAGGCGTTGCGGCTTCATCGGATGCCCGGCTCCATAGTGGAAGTTGCCCACGTCCGCGTTGTAGAAGTACGATACCCTCCGGTCCGTCATCGCGGCGCAGTCCTTCGATCGGATCCGACCCCGTCGGAGCGCCCTAATCCTCTATTTGTAGTCCAGATCCACGCCGGGTAGCAGGTACGTCTTCGCATACAGGACGATCAGCAGAACGGCCACGATAAACAGGAGTCGCCGGGTCGTGTCGTATTCGCCCAACAGCATGCCGCCTCGGTGGCCACTGGACCAACTCAAATCGGCTTAAGTACTTTTATTTAGCTGCGAAAAACAATTTGCAAATGTATCGCTAATTGAAAACAGCTTAAAGCGGCGTGTGCTCAAAATGTACCAAAAAATACCGCGAGCTAGTGATGTGCAGACATACTACGTGAAACGCCAAAGTTGGATCACGCGTGCATCTCCACCATTTTGTAAATCATATGTAATACATTTCGGTAACCGTTTAGCAAAGTGGGGACCCTTAATTTGTTTTTATGTCCCACTACTGATTTCCATTTTCATATATTGATAAAGTAATTGAGTGCAATAAGAATTAAATGAAATCAAACGGTTCACCCTGAAAACCCGACAGATCTGGCCGAAAAAAGCCAAGCCCACAGCACTGTAAACGCCTGCCGCGCTTTCTTATCGGAATCATTTGTGGATAAGCTTCGTCCAGTTGGAGTGGAATGCAGTAATCAACAATAAAAGTCCGTGGGCAAGGAGGGCGGAAAGTGTGTCAACTGGCTGAAAACGGCGTACCAGGAAGCGCTTCTTTTGGCCATAGCAACCGATAAATCCGCAAGGGCGACCGAAATCGGGCAAATTACGAAACCGCCATTGATTTTGGACCCAATCAAGATGTAACTTGTGCCCGGTCATAAGTCGACCCCGAATAACTCAGAATCAACGGCGGTACCAGTACCCAGCAGACATTCCCGATGTTGACCCTGTATTACGTGAGCGCCACCGTCCTGCAATCCTGGCGCATCCAGAAGGCCTGCTCCAAGATCGCCGAGCACCTGGCGCAGCCCTCGAGCATCGCCTTCTACGCCCTTCAAGCGGGCAGTGACGATGGATTCGGTGAGTGGCGGACTCCTTGGAACGCGGCTGAGCTGTAGAATCCCCTCCTCCTCCGTCCCCAGATCCCGCCCTGGCCAGCTCCGAGCTGTGCGGCAACCGCAATGCGGCCAAGGTCACGGACATCCTGTGGCTGCACGCCAATCAGCGGGGCTGCTGCCTCCGTCCGCTGCAGACGCTCCACATCACGCCCTGGATCAGCTTCCCGGCGGCGCCCAGTCTGCTGCCCTTCTCCTACGCCGCCGACACTCTGACGCCGGTGACCACGCCCACGGAGGCGGACACTCCGCCTAGGCAGAGGGTTTCGCTGTCCACGCAGGGCGAGCAACGGATGCAGCTGCTCCTGGAGGCCCACGTGGAGCCAGTGCAGCGGCCCAGCTCCGAGGACACGACGGCTGTGCGGGTAAGTTGGGGGGTCCGCGCACCGGACTCTGGGGTGGGAGTTAAGTCATCTTAAGGGTCACACATAGGCTCTTTAAACAAGCAATATTGCACGGACTGACTTTTTCTGGGTAGTATGTGCATTTAAAATCTCTAACTTCATTTATTTTTTGGAGGTTGTAGACGGAAAACATTTGACATGGACCAATTAACATTACCCTTTTTATATGATATCTTTAATTCAAACTTTAAAGTAGTTTTTTAACGGCTGGGTACAAAGATTACCTTCCTTAGAGAACTGTTCCTAATCTAAGGCTGATTTGAACACAATTCCGCAAATAAACACCTTCCTCTTTGATTTTTATAATCTTAATAATTATAATCCTCTATAATTAAGAGTGTAGTACCCCGCCATAAGTACTTTCAAGAAAAACGATATTTTTCTTAAAATATACTGGGTATTTGCCATATCTTTGTTTTGGTGGTCCTTTGTAAGACTTTGATTCTTTTATTCTTTATTTTTAACTCTTTTGTTCAAACAACGCACAATTGCATAAATATCGAAATTTAAATTTACATAGTTATTTTTGATTTGAAAAATGTACAAATTTTTGGAAAAGTAAAAAAAAGGTTAATAAAACGTTGTTACTCAATAAGAAAACAGTTGTTAAAATAATATGGTAAACAGATTATTTTAAACTAGAAAATGTACACCTATTTTTTTTATAAAAATTGCAATGTCAACTTTAAAGGTTAAGAGTAATCAATAACAGGCTATAAAGATGACGGAATGCGTGTGGTAACGTGATTAAGATGTAGCCGTTCCAGGACGGTTGAATCGATAGAGGGATGGCGTCATCCACATGTATATCTGCTAACCAGGGGTCTCCCTTCGTTCCTTTTCCTTCTACTTGCATGTCGGCTGCCCATGAATCAGCTCGAAGATTACGGTAAGCTAATTGCATGGAAAATAGACTCCCACCTGGCGGTGCTCATCGAGACAGATGTCGAGCACTTCACCCAACTTTTGATAACGACTTTCTTGCGAAATAATTTATGCATTAACGATCAGCTGCCACTTTTGCGGATTGAGTGTAAGCTGGACCTAAAATCGTTTTCATGCAATCTGATTTTTCTAGGAAACATACTAACAAGTTCTTTCCTTTTTCCCAGCGGTTCAGCGAGAAGGTGATCCGCAGCCCTTTGAGTTGCTGGCCAATCACCTGAAGCGCCAGTCCCGCACCACCGTCGGTCTGGACAAGGATGGTTGGAAGAAGCACCTGGAGGATCTGCGAGCCGTCGGCGTGCTGGCCCACCAAGCCACCGAGTTCGAGTACCAAAGAAATCGCTCCGAGGGAAGGACGAAACCAGATCTCATCGCCCATGAGCATCGCCAGACCCCGGAGCCCGTGGCCAAGGCTGTGGCTGTGGTGGAGCCAACCAACAAGGCATCTCTGTCTCCGGCCAGGGTGGCGGATAGTTCCCAGAAAGCTGAGCCCAAGGGAACGCCGGCCAAACTTTCTCCTGCTAAAAGTGAAGCAAAAACCACTCCTGCTAAAAGCGAAGCTAAATCCACTCCTGCTAAGAACGAAAGCAAGCCAGTCATAACCAAAGAGGACTTCAAGTCAACGCCAAGTAAAGGCGAACGTAAACCAAGTGAATTGGAAAAACTAGCCGCAGCCCAGGCGTCCCAGATGCAGAAGATAGAGAGGGTGGAGGTCTCGCCCATTAAGGCTGCTCCATCGACCAAGCCATCAACCCTCAGTAATGTCAATGAGCCTGTGAAGTCATTTGATAAACCAACGAAGCCCAGCAAATCCTTTGAGGTAGTGAAGCCTTTGAATTCTCCTCCGTCGGCTGGCATTGCTCCTTCACGACCTGTGCTGCAACGGAATAAGAATAGTCTGCAGGAGAGCAAGCCTCTGAATGTTTTAGTCTACTCGGACAGTGCCAGCGCCCGCGAGTCCACCCTGGCCACTCTTCAGCAGCTGCTGGAGCGGAATGTGTACACCATCTACCCGCTGATGCCGCAGCAAGCGGCCCTTAAATACTGGACAGAGCAGACTGCTCTGCTTGTTGTGTGCGGATCGGTGGCGCCGGGAATTGGACAGATCTTGGTAGACTACTTCCTGCACGGCGGCAAGGTGCTGAGTCTGTGTTCGGATATACTGCACTTCATACTGCCCAACTATCGTACAGCGGAGGTAAGGATGGCAGGTTTTGTTCACCAAGTACGGGATGATGCAAACATTTGAACTTAGGTTCGAGAGCACGAATTGGTTCAATTCTCCTATGACAAGTGGCAGCGGGTCAAGATGATGCACCACATCTTCTGCTACCAGCCGTCGCCGGTGAAGAAGCACTTCTCCACGGACAGCGAGGAGTCGACTAAGTCACATTCCCGCAAACCGTAAGTAAACATTACTGCTTCCCAACCACACTGAGAAGCAGCAGCCTGACAGCGTCCAAAACATATTGCTAACCTTGCCGATCTATTTTATAGAGCAATAACCTTAAACAGACTTAAAAGTATCCTCGAAACCTCTATGTTGCATGTTTACACACCGAAAAGCCCTATCCAAAAAAAATTGCTTGTTGCACATAAGGAGACGATTTAAAAGGGGTTTCTGTTTAGTAATAATTTCTATTGGTTAATTTAACGGATGGGGCTTGTCAGCTAAGTGATAACCAAAGTGTAAATCAATATTTTTAAAGATACTCGTGCTTATACTAAACCGTTTCTAACTAATTCCAACTCTCATTTTATTTCTCAAGCGTTTCATGCTTAAATTTGGTCTCGTTTCTTCTGAATATGGCTTCCTTTCTATTTCATTCGGTGTGCACCTTAACCTGTCGTAACTCCTTTCGAAACTGCATAATTAACTAACCGATTTATGTCAAATTTGGTTCTCCTTTAAAATCCACGAATGAATTATTTCGCATAAATATTAATATAAGCCCTTTACCTTTTACTTGGTTATTTATTTTGCTTGACATTTCTATTCCATTGTCCTACTATACTTTTCTGTCTGCCTGATCGCTTATTTTCCTGCCCATTCTATATCTATCTATCTCTGTGTGTGCTTCTACTTGTGTGTGCTATCACTATTATAATCCTACCTACCATTAACTAAAATAAAAACATAAACCAAAAAACAAAAAAAACACAAAATCAAACCACGAAACGCTGCTCAGAGCTCTAGTATGTCCAAGGTCCATGGAACTGAAGGATCTGGCCGGGCACAGCCACAGTTTGGATGTACAGGTGCTGGGCACCGAGGAAACCTGGAACACGCCTAGCTTGATGTTGGCCAAAAGCCTGCAGAGCGGGGGAAAGGCCGTCTTCTCGCAGGTATGTATTTCCTCTTGGTTAGCTAACTCTACTTTATTAACTCTAACTTATTCAGGTTCATCTGGAAATGAATCCCAGCGAGTTCGAATCGGATGAGATTAAATACTCCATTCTGAAGCAGAACGAATGCACTCGGCTCGAGATATTTGCGGATCTCTTGGGGAAGTACCTGGATGTGCAGGTTCAGGGTGGAGTGGGTGTCGATCAGTCGCATCCTGGAGTGGTCTATCAACACGCCTATTTCCTGGGCCGCCATGAGGTAGGCAGTGGATGAGTTCGTTTGTCAACTTGGGCATTTCAAGAAAAGAGTCTTTTAACCATGCAGACCAAGTTTGAGCTTTTGGAGAAGTTGCGTTTGCGATGCAGTGGACCCGATAACGTCATAGCAACGCCAAAGCTGACGATCAAATTCTGTGGAAAGGACGACAAGCCACCAGTGGCCAATAACAATGTCCTACCCATACTGATACATTCCTGTCCGGACGACTTCTCCACCGTAGAGTACTTTGATGTGCGCAAGTATAATTTAATCAATCTGCTGACACTAAGATATACCCGTTTTGTATATAGCATCTTAAAACGGAGCATATTGGACGACTGGTCATCTATGCACCGGTTGTGAGCAGTTCTATGCATGTCATCAACAACCTGGAACTCATCAACGGCCTGGCTGTGCTGCCCGTGCAACAGACCTCTGGAGTGGGTCGCAGTAATAATCAGGTTGGTATTCTAGGAGTCCTTAGATTCCAGATTCCAGAGTTACCATTCCTTCGTGTGTTTCAGTGGCTTAGTCCCCTGGGCTGTGCCATGTTTTCGTTGCAACTCCATCTGGCCATGGACTCAGCGTTGGGCTCTCGGTTGCCTCTTCTGCAGCACCTGGTTGGAGCGGCCATCGTCAATTCTCTACGGGGTCACGAACAGTATGGGGTGAGTAATGATTGTAAATCCGCATAGTAAAAACAGGGTTAAGATAAAAAAGGACATAGAACGTTAGGGATTTCAGCGATGCTTTCAACATCTGGTCGCTTTGAATTAGCCAACGATTTTTGGTGATTCATATACAACAAATGAAAACAGTAAGAAAGGTCACGTTAATTTGGCTTTACTGATAAGTTTATTTGACATTTTTCTTGATTTCGCATTTAAAGTCCATTTACTATATACATTTGACCGTACACATAGTACACAATACATATTAATTTAAACACTAATCCCTCATATACAATTCTGTATACACATGTACATATATAGAGTTTAACTTACACATAATTAACAATTTAGAAATTGCTCACCTGATTAACGTTTACTTTAATATTTGCCACAGTGCTTGTTTGTTTGTATATGTATGTCTATGCCTTCTCAGTTTGCCTCTGCTCTTTAACATTTAAACTTTTGTCTTTTTCGAGTTAACATTTGTTTTCGCCTTTGTTTTGTTTGCTCACAACTGCAACTGATTGCACCCGATACATGCGTACATAATTTAGTTTTAAAATCGTTTCTATAATTTGGTAGTTACGTTTAAGTATTTACAATCTTTGCTTAGGAGAGTTTACTGTTTGGGAAGAAACCGAGCCAGCTTAGTTAATCGGTCGTAATTGTACTAGACAGTGACAGTGACCAGGAAGCAGCTCCCTCAGAACACGGATTCCGCAGACCGTGACAGGTTGACGGGATGGGAGGGACTACGCGCCAGTCGCTTCTTGGGAAGGTGATCTAGGAGCGACAGCAGGCGCGCGAATTGTGGTCGGTGCTCCTTCTCATAAGTCCAGCACAGCATTAGCAAGTCCTTGACATCGCGTCCCGACTGCAGATTGGCCAGCGATTGCTTCATTCCACGTCCCACTTGCCAGATTATCGACTCCGCCGGCTGATCCTTAAACGTGAACTCACCGCAAATTAGCTCGTACCACACAGTTCCAAAAGAGTAGACATCCGAGTAGGGGGTGAACGCCAGGCACTCTCCGCGCGGCTTCTCCGGCTGCAGCGCTCGGATGAGCTCCGGCGCCAGGTAGCACAACCAGTTGTGGGGCACCCCTAGGCCCATATCACAGTAGAGCAGCTTGGTGGAGCTAAACAGCCCAAAGTCCGTGATGATCACCTTGCCATTCTCGATGAATATGTTCTTTGTGCGTAGATCCTTGTGGATGATCTGCCTCGCGTGCAGGTATCCCATGCCCTGAGCTATCTGCTGGGCAATAAGCAGTGTCCGGTTCATTGCGAACTTCTCGCGACGCTGGTGGATGTACGTGTACAGGGTGTTGCCCTTGCACAAAGAAGTCACAATGGCCAAGTATGGCGGATTCATGCAGGCTCCCATGAACAGCACCAGATTCTCGTGCCGCGTGTTTTTGAAGTTGGCCACCTCGCTGCGAAAGGTCTCCAGCATGTGCTCGTCCTGCAGGTAGTCCTCGTTGAGCAGCTTTACTGCTACATCTCCATGCCACAGGGCTCGATGTACAGTGCCAAAGCGTCCCTGCCCGATCCGCTCTAGCAGGCGTAGGTCGCCGTACGGAATGTCCCATTCCTTCAGTGAAATGGAGTTCTGCCGCCACTGCCCCGAATCTCCGTCTTCCGTTGAATCCACTCTAACGGGCGTCCTGTCCGAATCCGTGCTGGCACTGCCGGACAAAGAGACTGTCTTATCGCTATCATTTGACTTATGGGTGTCCGTGTACTCGCTGGTGAAGGGCGTCCTCTTATCTACCCCGGCTGTGCTCAGTTTGCGTGGAAAGAAGCTGCTGGTACTAGTGCTGGTTGTGCTGTTGACCAGACCAGTCACGGTGGCGGAACTAGATGCATTTGACGACTGACTGCCTATTAGGGAACTCATGTGCCCGTTGGAACTGCCAACCAGGCTGTCCAGTCCTCCATTGGCGGTGATAGGCACGGCAGGGAATTGCTCTGGAGCTGGTTCATTGGAAATAAGCGTATCACCTCCGCTTCCACCACTGCTTGTCACCGTCACGTTGGGGAAGTTGAACTGAGCCTGCTGGTGCTTGCCCAGTGATGGAGTAGGAACCAGATTGGCGCTGGAGCTGCTGCCACCGTGATCCAACTCGCGATCTCTTTGGTGGAACAGCGCCGGACTACTTGGGGTGGAACTGGTGCAGCTGGAGCTCGGCGAACTGCTGTCGCCGTGCTGCTGATGAAGCGGTTTGCCCAGGGTGTTCTTCTTAACCAGCGGTGATCCCTTGGCGGCGCCGTGCACATGCGGTAGACTGGCGTATCCACCCTGCTCCTTAATGTGGCGGAACTCATCCACATATTCTCGTGGCAGTCCGCAGGAAGGTGGCACGTGTGGCTCGCAAGACTTATGGCAGATGTACTTGCAGTCGGTGCACTTCAGACAGCGGGAGAACACCTGCTTCTGACACAAAGTACAGGTGGCCATGAAGCCTATGACCTTGGTAAAGCGATGCTTGATGGCATGACCCATGCCAACGTGGCCCACGCCCGGGGAGCACGGCACCATTAGCACGTTTGAGGAGCTTCCTCCGGAACTAGCATTTGTATTTGCGTCCACAAAGATGTCAGAGCTGGCGGAACTGTGGCTATCGGGGCTGGGATCAGTGGGCAAACGATTACCGGCTGGCTGCTCTCCGTCCACTTGGCTCTGGTTCAGCAGTGTTTGGTGCTTTCTGGCGGGTGGCGGTGTACCGCGACTCCTCTGCGGTGTACCATTGAGGCTGCTGCTCACCCCGCTGGAAGGCGTAAAGGGCGAGTTGGGTGGCGAGGGCGTGAGAGTCAGGGTCAGCTGAGAACCCTGCGTACTGTTCAGCTCCTCTGTTGCCGTAGGCGATTGACGGCCGCTCCGGGAGCTGGTTGAGTTGGCCAAAGCGGCGCTTTTCCCCTTGACACCATGCTGGCGATGATGGGTTCTCGGGGAGGCGGTTGAATTCTGACCCAGTCCTATGTTGCCCACGCTGCCGCGGTGAATGTGGATGGACCTGTCCCATGAGTCCCAGTGCCACTGTTCTGGATCGTTGTTGCTTGCCGCAGTGCCGCTCTCCAGCGATTCCATGCACTTCCTTAAGTTTTGCATGGCCCTAGTCAGGCGTCGCAGCTCCTCCTCCTCCCTTTGGCTAGGGCTGTCGGCCAGCAGCTGGCGTATCTCCTCGTCGCTGAGTCGCAGGCTCTGCTCCAAAGTGGTTAGGCGCGTGAGGCAGGCGGTAAGGGTCTCCTGGCTGAGGCCCACCACTCGGAGCCACTGTCTCAGCTCATTGCCCGTTGCGTGGGGCAGCAGCCCATTGGCCGGGATGCGCTCGTTGAGCCGCATCTTCGCCAGAAGCAGCTCGGAGAAGTAGCGCACCAGCTTGGACTCCAGGCAGCGAATCTCCTGCTGTGTCAGCGTGGAACTAGTGGCGCACTGCGTGCGCAGGCCCTCCAGATGGTTGGCCGAGAGATCAATCATATCCTGGATGATGACCAGGTTGCTGTCCACGGACAGTGACCCGGAGACGGGACCGTTCGCATTGCTGGAGCCGGAGTCTGGGGCGTGTGCGGGGGCGTTGTTGTTGCTGCTCATCCTGCTCATTCGTGGCGGAGTGGAGTCCGATTGATTTTTTCAGACGCCCTCGCGGGGACTCGACGACTCGATGGGACCTGGGGTCGGGGCTCTGCTCCGCATTGTGGCCCACTTCCGGCGACCTTTACTTTCGCAGCTGCTGCTCCGTCTTTCGCACACTCACGCCCGCAACTCGAGACGGCTCAAGGAATGCGAAAAGACAATAATTTTATAATTTCTTCGGCTGTTGTTGAAATTTCTCTACACCCAAGTCAAGTGCAGCGCATAGTGCCAGTGTGACCGTGCGTGGAAAGTCTTCGTCGCTCGGCTTTTCAAAATGTACTAAAAAAGCACGAGTCCGAATTCATCCGTTAGGGGCATCCCACAATTAAATTTGGTGCCTTTTGTATTATTTTCTCAAAAAGTTTTTTTAGCAAAGAATTTAAAAAAAACCTTGGCACTGTAATGTATTTTTTCGAGATAGTTCTATACCATTCAAGACAAAAAAAAAACGGGCTACAGTGGAATTTCCAAGATAAAGTCTTGAAAATTATAAGTTATATTAGGGAAAGTGTTCAGTGTTCCTTATGAAGTTGTGAACTTAAAAATATTTATTTTATTAGTTACGAAAATTGTATTACCAATTTAAGAAACTAATATTGATTTTAATTTAATATTTACAGGTTTTAGATATTTCTTTAAAGTGGCCAAATGATATATATGCAAATGGGAACCAGAAAATTGGCGGCCTCGTCGTTAACACTACTCTGCAGGGTTCTCAGGCCATCGTCAATATCGGCAGTGGAATTAATTTAAATAATTCAAAACCAACTGTTTGCATTAACGATTTGATAAGGGAACATAATATCCGTGCCCCCAACAACAAGCTACCTATTCTTAAGTATGAGCTGTTTATTGCCACGATATTTAATGAAATCGAAAGACTTTTGGGCGAGGTACAAAATGGAGACTTTGATAGTTTTTATGCCTTATACTACTCGCTCTGGTTACACAGGTAAAATTGTTGGATCGTAAAAAAATATATTTTAAACATTTTTATCCACAGCGGTCAGACCGTCAAGATTTGCCTCCAAAATGAACAAGAACGGGAAGCCGAAATTGTGGGAATCGATGATTATGGATTTTTGAAGGTGAAATTACCAAATGGAGCCGTAGAAACAGTGCAACCCGATGGAAATAGCTTTGATATGCTAAAGGGATTGATTGTACCCAAGTTCCAGTAGTTGAATGAATCGGAAGAAGAAAACTTATATTATTCCCCAATCCACTTATTTAATAGAGCTATTATCATTATGTATTTTTTAGGCGCATTTAGGTCAATTTATGAAGAATTAATTACTTACTTATGTACTTATTAACCGAATTTATTCTTGCTTAAAATTGATAGAAAATTTTTAAAAATAACATGAATTCCACTAAATTGAATACTGCCAAAAAAAAATATGTTACTGGAAATCTCCAATATTTATACAAATTGGTATAGAACTAACAGATATATGCCGTATATCCCAGTGTTTTGAAAATACTTCGTAAGTTTATCCAGTTCGTTACCGTTGTTATTGTCATCAAATCCTCTTCGTATGGGTGTTTTTGAAATTGGACTTTAATAAAGACGTATTTGAATATTGCGGACTTTAAATCGTTGTTTTAATTTGGGGAATGCAGTGACGGACTTGTAAGCTTTCTTAAAAATGTATTAATTGTTACGTCTATAATTTTCAATAGGATTCTTATTTAGATCCAATAATTAATTATTTAAATGATTTAACAAATTGGTATATTTTTTGAGAGCTTGTTGGTATATTTCAGTATAATGTTGTTAACACTGGTGAAATCGAAAACGCTTGGGTATATTCAACTTACATAACCTGGTAACATTGCTGCTTTGCTGGAGAAGAAAATTGTGGAATTAAACAGAATCCAAGGCATAGAATTATGTCACAGCGAAATCACCGAGTGGACCGCTTCGCGCAGATGACGAAGCAGGAGGAGATCATAGCAAAGAAGCGACAGGAGATCCTCGAGAAACAGAAGACGGCGCAGCTGGCAAAGGCGGTGGCTGCGGCGCAAAACTTGGCGGCGCAACTGAAAACTGAGACGCCTGCGGTAAAAGTAATTGCAAACGGGGAGCAAGAGGAGGAGGATGCCCAAAACCAGGACATTGCTGTCCAGGACACACCCCTTACGGCCGGCGAAGAGGGCAATGGCCTAGAGGCGGGCCCCATCGAGGCCACGGTCAGTAAAGGAAAGTTGGAAGACGCGGTGGCCCCCAAGACGCTGAATAGTTTCACCGGTAAGACGGGCAAGATCACATTTGGCCAGAAGCGCCAGCAGCTGCCACAGCCCAGTGTGGAACAGCCGCCTCCGAAGGTAAAGAACACCTTCTGCAACGATGGTTCCTTTCTGGAGAACTTTAAAAAAATACTCGAAAAGCATGAGAAGCCTCCGCAGCCCTTGCTCGTTCCACCCGTTCAAATGCCCAGGTAGGTGTTTATTAAAGACGACACTTAAATGTGTTACTCATTTTCCCTCTATTGCAGTGCCGATGAGAATAGTACCCTGGAAACTGACACCGCCGAGAACAGCAGTTCCCAGCTGGAGGCGGCCATCGCCATTAGTTCGGCAGCAGCCATGGCCACTTCCATAACAGTGACCAGCTCGGCTCCAACTCACCTGACTTTTGGACTTCCCGTTCAGGCTGTGCAACCACCACCGCCTCCTCCGTTTTCCTTCAATCCTGCGCTTTTGCAACAGGGACCACCGCAAATGCAGCTGCCAGCCGCCTTCTTCCACGGCCACCTGCCTCTGCACCTGCACCCGGCGGCAGTTGCTCCTCCTCCACCCCCGCCGCCACCTCAGCTGCCCATCGCGCTGGCCAACATGGGTCAGATTTACATGCAGCTTGGACCGACGCCAGTGGAGGCCATGCAGCTGAATGCCATACCGGCGCCAAAGGAGTTTGACTTAAATGCGATACCCAAGCCACAAATAAACCTGGAGGCTATCCAGATGCCCACCATCGGCGGGCATTCGGCGGAGCAGCTTGGTCTCCTGCCGGAACACATGGCAATGCAAGTCAATCCCCACCCACCGCCACCGCCGCCACCTGTGCTAGAGGAGATGGAGCAACAACAACCGCAGCCACATTTGCCACAGGTGGTGCCTCCGCAGCCGCCTCAGCCCGCAGCTGCCCCTCAAGGTGTGTAACATAAGCCAAGCAAACTTCGATGCCTGTTCTGTTCTGTCATTTGAAATGCCCCACCCATACCGAACATCTATCCCTCATCCTTACCTACTTCCAACTTCCTACTCATTCAATTTGTAAAGAACTTTAATCGTTGAGCACGATTTTAAAGCAATTTATGTAGTTTTTTCAGAAACGTGCATACAATTGCCAACGTGCTTAGAAAACCTAATCGCTCTGGTCGCGGAAAATGGTGAAGATTATGAAGATAAAATTCGTTTGCATAGAAGCGAGTTGCATCCGGCCTTGTGGTAAATGACCTAAACATGCTTTAATTAAGACTGGTACCCAAGGGACGGTCTAAGGACATGGGGTGGTGAGGGGCGTAAAGCTTAGGGATTTAAGTTGCCATTTTGTTTGCACATATTGCCGAGTTTTAATAAGGGAAGTATTGTGTTTTAGTCCTGCCCTTTACACACGTAATCCGAATTTTATTTGCTAGTTAAACCATTTTTTATTTCAATTTGATACTGCCTAAGTTAGTGAGGTAAATTTAGATATCCTTGGATCGTTCTAATGTCACTGGAAAGAAAATTAGCTCCCGCTGCCGAACGTTGCATTCCATTTCACGTTCAATAAACATTTAATATTTATTTTTTTTAAAAGAAACTATCCTTTTCACTTTAATTAAAAGCATCGAGATTTTGTTTGGGTCACCCAAATATGGGTTTGAAACTAAAAATCATGTTCAGTACATTCAGTTCAGTTATTCCTTTGATCCGCTTTAAGTCAAAACTATGATAAATATAAAAAAATTGGTCAATGTAACCCCCAGTTAATGTGGTTGATTTTAAAGTACCGATAAGTTTTCGTTTTAAACTTAATTTCTGAGAACTTACGACCAAACGAACTAACTTGAAGGGGGTACAGTGAGGATTAGCCAGAGCAGTCGCTTGGACTCGACCCGTCGTTCCTCGATCGTCGTCTAAAATCTGGAGGAGCCAGCCGGCGGATGCCAACTAAGATCTCAAAATATACCGCTAATGGGGCGCCTCAAACAGTTACTCATATAATGTCTTTGTACACGTGACTAGCGTCGAGCACTTTTCATTGTACGTTTCACTTCTTTTGAATTTGGTAATAGGTTTCTTTATGATAAGAGCTGCGAGCAGTACCGAAGCTATCGCTCCCAACTCCTTGACTACGAGCGCCAGCGCGTTGAACGGCAACGGGAGCGGGAGCATCAGCAGCTAAGCCGGGACCAGCAGCCTCAGCCCAAGGAGCAGGAGGCTCAGCCACACCACGAGGAGCAGCACAGCAACTCGGCGGCCGACAAGTACGACCCGGAGTCGGCCATCAGTGCGGACTTTGACTCGGATGATGAGTACATGCGGGGCATGATGGACCGCAACCGGGACAACATCAAGCGCCGCATTGAGTGCCGCAACGAGCTGAGCGACGAGGAGAGGCGTGAGCGGGAAGAGGCAGCCGCCGCAGGAGGAGCGGTGGACGGTGATGACCATGACGATCAGGAGGACAAGGAGTCGCAGAGGCAGCGACGGAAGCGGGAGCGCAAGAGCCGTTGGGGCGAGAAGGAGCAACAGTTGCCCACCTCAAGTGAGTTTTAAAGTAGATGAAATCTGATAACTGATGTGACAGTCCTCTCACAAGACCATATTTTGAATATGGATAGTTCACTATTTTGATGTTTAAACTTTAATATTAAACTCATTAACTCGATTTTGGGAACTCACTTTAATTTCCTGGATCAGATATCGGCATTTTTTCGTTTTATATGTAAATATCTTTTAAGAAAAAGATGCAATGCACACTTGGCACCATCTATCTATGCAGCTGTACTAAAAAATGGCAAAATAGTTAAAGATTCTTGGAAATAATAACGTTTTGTGTGTTATTTGAGCACAAAATTGATCAGTAATTCAGTTAATAAAATAAGTACGCATAAATGATGATAGTAATTTGTACTATGTGTTTTAGGCACTTCGGGAAACTTTGGTAACCAAAACAAACCCCTGCTAAGCAGCATCACACGCACGGATCCTGCTCTCCTGCAGTATGCTCGCCTTAACTACGGATCCACGCAGCTGA